ATAAAAATATATTTAAAAAAATTAATTTCAAACTATAATTTCAAATGAATTAAGATTTTTATCTAAATAAATGTATTATATATCCAGGAGTTTTTCAAGCCAAATTATTTTTAAAAGAAATTTTGATTTAATTCAGATGCATTCATTCATTTACTGCTTTTCTTGCTTCTCTCTGACTCTCTCTCTCTCTCTATCTCTCTCCATTTACAATTCTTCTTGCTTTTCCCACTCCATTTAACTATTTTTAAACGAAATTTTCATTTATTTCAGTTGCATTCATTCACATACCCCTTTTTTTGCTTCTCTCACTCTATCTCTCTTTCTCTCTTCATTTACTAGTCCTCTTGCTCTTAACGTTTACAAACCCTTTTTCTGTTCTGCTTGGCTAGAGTTACGCCCCATTGAGGCCGCTGCCTGTCGTTGCTTTTGTGTGGAAATGGTCTCAACAGCCACTTGCAACTTGCCACCTGCCAACTCAGCCGCTCCCTGAATTATGCATATTTATGCTCACCTGTATCTACCTTCGCTCAGCCTCATGCCTGCTCAATTAATTGCTTTTGCTGCTGCTGCTGCTCCTGCTGTTGCTTGTCTGCAGTCGCGGCGAGAGGAAAATGTGCAGACGCCCACGCAGCGAAGCGCCAGCAACTTTTAATTAAAACACAAATTCAATTTTTTGCATATTTAATTAAATGGAGCCGCCGCAGCATCATCGGTTCATCGAGAGCGAGGAAAATGCCCTTGAGAATGGGCCACAACTTCCGCTTTCAGTTTCAGAAACATTTCCGGCATTTGATGCCACAGAGGCCGACTCGAAGCATGTGAATTATGCTCTCAAGTTTTCCAATTGAGTGACGCCAAATTTAGACCTACTTCCACCTAGTAGGAGCTGCCTCCGTCCCCCTCAGACCCGCACCCAGACTCATCTAGTTTGTTGCTGTCTATCGCATAGCAATTGTCTTAGTCTCTGCTTCGATTCGGAACACCTTTGCCTTAAGTGCGGCTAATTATAGTTTGGCTGGCCGAAATGTCATCTACACGGCTTGTGCCAGGCTGACTGAAGCGTAGCGAGGGTAGCTTGAGCAATCTGTGCGAATGGCTAAATGTTTTTCTAAAAATTAAGTTGAACTTTGCCATATTTAGACATTTAGATATGTAACATAAATCTGTATCTCAATTAATTTCTAGTATTACAAACGGAGAGAAGGCTAGATAAGTAAGATATAAGTTTGGTTGACCCAAATTCATAAAACCAGATTTATAAAATACATACAGATGTATTTAGTCTTAATTTGAAGTCTTACAATCTGACTGAGGGTTGCTGAAGTTATCTGTTTCTTTTTAAATGATTAACATTGAATTTTAGTCCGTCACAGAATTAGTCAGAGAATTATTAATCCTCTTAGTTTCTGGTATGATAATCTTGACTAACATTGCTTAAACATATAAGCACAGCTAGGTCTATTCCTGTTTGAATTTTGTAGAATTTTATCAAATTTAAAATTCGATATTGTTTTATCAGTTATGTTTATATAAATATATAGTATATATATTATACAGATCAACCTGTATAGTATTCCTCTTAATTTCTAGCCTTACATCAATCTCTTTTACCACCCCTGACGTTCCCTCTGGGTTATAAAGAGCATATCTCGACTATTTATAGCAATGAGGTTGCGCTTCGACTGTCGCACATGAATTTCCCAGTTTTTTTTGGTTTGAGTAGCTTATTTTATTGTATGCTTTTACAACTGTGAGTGGGAAATTATGAGCAGGTACTTTTTCGTTGGCTTCTGCTCTAGCTGTAAGGCTCTGTTAATGCTGGCGAGCAATTTGTCAGCTCATTTTGCTCCTACTCCTGGCGTCTAATAAGTTATGATGACATTCAAGCGGCTGTCGTCGGTGCGCGCGGAGCAATGGAAATTTAGCTCGAGGCGTTGGAAGATCGTCGACAGATTTATTTGGGGCCTGTTGCAATAGTTTTCGGCTGCGGCTGGGGCTTGTGGATGGGGCAGCCGCTGCTGACTGCACCTGCCAGACGACAGCTAGGTCTGCGAGTGGAAAATTGAGGTCGTTTCAGCTGCTGCAGCAATTTATCAAACGGACGACATTTGTGTTGCGAAATTCCTGCGGATGACCGCGTTGCCTCTCCTTTCATATGTTTTGTTTTGTTTTGTTTTGGATTTTAAAGTAAAATATTTGGATTTTGTTTTGTTTGAATTATGAAGCTTTTGGATTTTCACACAATTTTAATAGACATACTCATGCATGCATTGAATTTTCCCAAAGCATTTAAATGCTCCATTAAAATGCGCCATAAAAATCTGTAAATTAATGACTAACAGTCAGGTTGTTGAAATACTGAAAGATGCCCTGTACAGAAATGAGCTCTTAAATATTTAAAGGTGGTTCTCCATAGTTGGAAAATATATCAAATTATATTATAATATACAAGTTTATGAGGAATTTATGGT